AGGGCCCTTTCTGATTTTTCTTCCTTTTTTCCTCCTCTCAGCAAGCTGAAGCCCTCTTTCGAAAGCAAGGATATGCGTGAGATGTTGGTCCTGTGCTGCAAGAACATCGTGACGCATCCTTCAGCATCATTCATCAGATGATGCTGAAGATCAGGAAGTCACAGCAAGCAGCACAGTACCTGCAGGTAACCTGCTGTAACTTTCCCGGCCACCTCTCGGTCGGAACCCTACCTCAGCACACACAACCTCTGCTCTGGCAGCAGCCGTGATGCTACTCATCACTCCCCTCTTCTGCTTTCAGCTTCAGCAAACATCACTGAAAGCTCTGGGCTGGCTCATGGTGGTTCTGCTGGAGACAGAGCCCAGCGGTGGCTTCTTCCAAAACATAGTCCATGTGAGTATGTGCTGCGGGAGCAGCAGTGCCGGTGCTCAGTGAGGCGGGAGGCCTTGGGGGAAAGGGCTGGGAAAGGAGGGACAGGGAGAGGGGTGGCAGGAAGGGAAGGAAAAGATGTCCTCAGTGAGACAGATGCTCTACCCCAGGTCCTGCAGAAATCTATGATATCAACCAATGTGTGGGAGCGCAAGAGGGCCCTGCAGACCTGCTCCCAGCTGCTGGCTGTTTGTGAAGAGCTTCAAGTGAGTAAAGAGCCCCACCACATGCCCCCTGCTCCCTCCCCTGTGCCCCTGAGCTGGAAGGTGAGCTCCGCCCAGCTGTGCATGCTGTGTCACGGCGTGGGGAAGGCACAGGTGGGAGAAGCTGGGGAGAGCTGGGGCTGTCTACAGCTTTGTTCCTGCCTCTCACCCCTGCAGAGAGGAGATGCCTGTGAGCACTTTGGCTCCTTGGTGGGATTGCTGGCGCCTCTGACGTGTGACCCCATGCCCGCATCCCGCCAGCTGGCCGTCACCTGTCTGAGCTCCCTTCTGCGAATCCAAGGTGAGTAGAGCAGGCGTGCTCCAGCCCTCTGCCCTCCTCCGTAGCACTACCAGAGCCCCACGGGCTGGGCCCTCTTGACAGGAGGGAGAGGCACCGTGCACAGTTCTCCTCTTGTCCCCATCCTGTCCTCTGTCTCTCCACCGTGGAAAGTGGTCCTATTTCCAGAAGCATGACTTCCCTTTTCTCCCTGTGCTCTTTCCAGCCAAGGCAGTCAACACAGTCATTGAGACGGGTGACATCAAGAGCCTGTGCGAGGGGCTGCATTCCTGCAGCATCGCCTCTCAGCTCCAGACCACGTCCAAAATGGCAAGAGTAAGTGGACCCAAAAAGGGGTGGTGGGATCTCTGCCCATAGAATTCTGCATGGCCCTATGCTGCCCCCAGCCTCTCACACCATTTCCAAAATGAGCTGTCACCCTGAGACTGCTTTTCTCAGCCAGTAGCAGGAGGCTCTGAGCTATGTCTGGCCTTCAGGCACCCAGTGCAAGGAGCTGGTGCCATGATGTGCGTTTGTGTGCGTGTGTTTGTGTGCATGTGTGACTGTGGCTGCTGGGAGGTAGGCTTTGCATGTAAGCAAACACCATGGGTGCAGAAGCTGAGAGAAGGCTCAACCGCCTTCCGTATAAACAGGAGGACAATATATAAATACAGTATAAATACATACAGTATTAAAGTATAAATAAATACAGTATAAAACAGCAGGAGCGCTGTGATTGCCGCCTGAATGAGCAGCAAGCCGCTGAGCTAAGAATGCCCTCAGGACTGCTTTGTGTTTGGAAGAGCTGCAGCAGAGCAGTGATGGGATCTCTCCCACTTCTCGTTTCTCTGCAGATTGTGTGCAGAAACTTCCCCATCGAACGCACCGTTGACTTCATGGCGGCCATCAAGGAGACCATCCGGAAAGCCAACGGAGTGCGCATGCGTGCGTGTGGGAAGTGGATGACCACCTTCCTGCAGATGCACGGGAAGGACATCAGTTGGAACGTAAGAGACTTTCTCCCACGTGTCTTGGACTTGTTCTGGCTATTGCACATGGCTAGGCCCTGCAGAGTCAAGGATGCAGCAAGTCATTCTTTCTCCCCTTCTTCTTCCAGGTGCCACTGATCCCCTACATCCTGCGCAGCATCACATCGTTTGCGCAGCAGAGCACATTCCTGCCCTTCCTGTGCCAGGCGGTGGTCATCCTCACCCGCTGTCACACTGAGGCCGTGATGAACAACTTCTCCCAGCTGCTTGGGCCAACAGACAGGTACTGGCACTCCCGCCTTTGCTGTGCCTGAGGTCACAGTTGTAGCTGGCCTCTGCCAGAGGAATCCAGGGAGGAGGCAGCTTTGAGTCTGTTTGAGGTCACAAGTCACAACTTGAGACTCTCCTTTTTCTAGTGTGACGTGGAAAAGAATAAGAGAGTTTTGCCTTCAACGCTGGAGCCAGTAGAAGAACGAAGAGAAAGACAAAGAGGAAGAGGAAGAGAGGAGGAGGAGAAGGAGAGGCAAGGCAAGTCGAAGCGAAGCGATGAGAAGCAAAGCGGAGAAGCGAAGAGAAGAGAGAAGCGAAGCAAAGAGAGAAGCGAAGCAAAGCGAAGAGATACCATTAATCACATAGAGAATTGTAATTGTGTTTGTATTGTAATTGAATTGTAATTGTAACACTATTATTATTAATATCTTTAATAATAAATAAATAAATAAATAAAACCACTATTTATATTAATATTATTAATACAAAAATCTCTCTGATAATAGGATTGTAAAAGCCAAATGGGAGGTGGCAAAAGTTCAGACACTCTTCCTTATCATAGCTGAATCAATTGGTTTGTTCAGAATTAGGGAACAGACTCTAACATCTTATTAGAGCATTTCCTGCCCCGGAAGAATTAGATCACATTATTCTTGGAAATCTAGAAAGCAAAGGATGATTAGTTATGGCTCTGACCGATTAAGGACTTCCTCCCCAAGATGGGCTGCTGTGATGGAAATGATGTTCCTTGAGTAACAGACCAACAGCAAAAAGCACAGAGACCAGTACTGCAAACTGGTTAAGCTGGTTGTGTGGAGGGCTTCTATCAGAATATTCTGCAGTGGTTTTAAAGGTTTGTTTCCAACTGCTTGAGTTTCCGTGTGCATCCTGAATGGCCAATATGTTCATCCCTCAGTCTGTCACTGGCAGGAGATGTATTGTTACGAGAAACTGGATATGAGCAAGCAGGGTGTGCTTGCAGCCTGGAAAGCCAACTGTGTTCTGGGCTGCATTAAAACAGGGGTGGCCAGCAAGGAAAGAGAGATGGTAGTCCTCCTCTACTCAGCTCTTGCGAGGCCCCGTCTAGAGTACTGCATCCAAGGCCTGGGGCCCCCAGCACAAGAAATATGCAGAGCTCTTATATCAGGTCCAGAGGAGGGCCGCTAAGATGATCAGAGGACTGGAACACATGTCCTATGAGGAAAGGTTGAGGAGACTGGGCTTGTTTAGCTGGAGAAGAGAAGGCTCTGAAAAGACCTCACTGTGCCCTTCCAGCTCTTGAATGGAGCATACAAACAGGAGAGGGAACAACATTTTACATGGGTCGATATGATAGGATAAAGGGGGGTGGTTTTCAACTAAGACAAAGCAGATTTAGGTTAGATATGAGGAGGAAGTTTTTCATTCCGAGGGTGGTGACACACTGGAACAGGCTGCCCAAGGAGGATGGATGCCCCATCCCTGGAGGCATTCAAGGCCACGCTGGATCTGGCTCTGGGCAGCCTGGTCTGGTGGTTGGCTACCCTGCACATAGCAGGGGGGTTGAAACTAGATGATCATTGTGGTCCTTTTCAACCCAGGCCATTCTGTGATTCTATGATTCTGTGACATGTCTTTGCAACTGCATCTGTCTCTCAAATACAACAGACACTAGCCAGATGAGGCATATGTCTCCTGATGGGGAAATGTAAATAAAAAAGAAGACTTCTAACTTTGCATGCAACTCAAGTCGAAGTAGGCAATTATATCTATCCCAACATGAAGCTCTCAAAATCATTTCCATCTTGTGTAGAATGCAGCTGGGATAGCATGAAAAGCAGAACACAATACTTTAAAAATGGCTTATCTAGTAATTTAATTGATTGATTGGGATACCAAGTCTTGTAGTAAAAATCTGGTCAGAGAGCAGTAAAAGCAGGCAGAATAATGTACTCCACTGTATTCCTTAGTTCAGTCATCTCTTCTGTGTATTTTGTGCCAGTGATGGAAATCGTGGACATCTTAGAGGAGCTGCCTCCTGTTTGAAGGCACAGTCCTGTACTCTCTGGGGATTTTCTGTAGTGAGGGAAGGTGCAGAACTTAGAATGGGGTTGATGCACATACACTGAACTGTGTTACATTAATGAGAGGCATTTCCCATCTCTTCCCATTCTCTTTGACGGCAGGAGAACCAATATCCAGTGGAGATGCTTACTGCCAGGAAGACATAAAATTTACTGGGAGGATCTATGAAGAAATTTCTTACAGAGGCAGCGGGGTCTCAGAAAGCAATCTAGGTGACTTATGTATCAGTTAGATGTTAAGAAGGTAAGTATTGGCTCAGGGTGCTTAACTTGAGATTAATAGTTGCCTTTTTTTTTCTGCTATACATTCACTGCTAACCATTCTGATGCTGTTTGGTCAAAAAATTGTTTTGTGAGCCCATGGGTCACTGACTTGTACAGTGGTCTTGAAATGGTAATGGATGTTAAAGAAGGGAGCTCCCAGTCATGATGGCCACGGATAGGTCCATTGAATCTCCCCCTGAGAGAACCAGCAAGTAAATCA